TTCACAAAACATCGGCCAACTATGATAAGAAAATGCAAGTTTTTACGAAATAAAAAAAGGAAGTAAAAAAAAGAATAACTATCCACATCTCCAAAATCGTTACTTTGCAGATCCATCTTTATTAAGACTTGTTTATTTTGGTCCACACTGTTACCTCTATAAAGATTTTACAATCTTTTCAACACCCCATATACATAACCAGTTTTTCTAAATTAAAATATTACCAATCTCATATATTATGAAATAATTCCAAATATACGATTGTTGTCGGTTTACCATTTTATATTTTTAATGAATCTCCAAGTGATCTCCAAGCACAAAAAAACAAAGACATCGAAATCTGCCATCGAATCATTAAATTTTATAGGTTATATTTTTCTTCTTTTTCCATCATATCTCGAACTTGATAGTGTAACGATAGTTATAGTTACTATCGATATTATCGATAGTGAATTTGAAAATAAAACTATCGATACTATCGATAATGCTATCGATATTTGGCCACCTCTATTAACCAAAGACTCCAAAGATGTGACGTGTATTTATTTATTTATGTTCTTGGTTAGTTTCATTTTTCCGTCTGATTTTAGTGATTTTTTGTTGGCTTTGGCTTTTGGTTTCTGTTTATAGTTTCGTCTTAGTTATTTGCAAAATTGTGATGTTTCGCTTTTTTATTTCCTACTGTGTTTTGCAATAATTTTGGTGCTACGTTGAAAACTTAGAGAAAAACTTCATTAATTCACCATATATTCACCATGCATCTGCATCATAAAAAGACAAACGGGGACAACAACTAATTGATAATCAATTTATCACTGGACTAGATTCCGAAATCATTTTTCACATAAGAGAGTAATACCACCATCTGTATTTGGAAGGAAAATACCTATTTATCATTGAATGAAGGATTCACCTTTTAATACAATACCTATATTACATTTGTCCTCAGTTAAAAAGACATTTATAAAATATATAACTTTAGTGTTAATAAAATGTAATATCCTAGTCTCTACTTCACATTTAAATTATTGATAGGTACCTATTTTAATGATTTGAGATTATATATCTATTTGCTCCAAGTAAGTATTCGTTAAATATGTATTATTATTTGTATTTATTTTTATCTAATAATATTTATTTAAGATATTAATAAACATATTTTAAGAATGTTCTATTTTATTATTTATTGATATATCTTATATTTATTTAATAATAATATGCAGAACCAACTCTCCACATTAGACCCCTTATAACAAATTAATTCTTCAAATTTGGTATAATCGACCTAAATTATTTTGTAAAATAAAAGTTTCGAACTTACTAGTTCCATACTTTATTTTATAAAATAATTTATGTGGAAATCATTTAAAATTTAATTTAAAACTACTACCTACTCCTAAATATTACAATTTGAATTTACCGCCATCTGTCAATTGTCATTTTAGTTCCAGCTCCAAACACAAGGTGGCGCTAATTTGGTTTAAAAGTTTAACATTGGCGTGGGGTCTCTAGAAGATACATGCTTTGTGGAAAGATCGGTTCTCTTATCCTCAAGATAATGTAAAAGCTCCAACTCAACTTTTGATCTTCTTTTATCGTGTTTGTTTACTTTCTTAGATTCTGATGTTTCGATTTCGTCAAAATAAAAAAAAAACGTCATATTCGTTTTCAGCATCGTGTTCATTACTATCATTGCTACCATTGTCATTATCAACATTTTCAGAATCTAACAGCCGTTCAGCACATGAAATAAATGTTTGTTTTACACTGTCCAGTGAGATTCCTGTCTGGGACTGTAGCTCACTTTTTAGGGTGTTGGTTGAACCACCGAAGTTTAAATTTTGGACAAGAAACTGCGGCTATTAGTGCTTCTTCACATTCTAACTGAAAAACAGAGGAAAACCGTTTAAACAGTGCCTCAAGACATGCGTCCAAAATCAAATTTGCACTGTTATGTCTAGGGCCCTGGAAAACGACTTTCATATTCTTCCATTTGTTGGCTAATGAAGTCAATGTTGGAAGTAAATAACCAAAGTAAGTATTAGTTTCACCCTGTAGTATGTCCAAAGCTGTTGCCAAAGGCTTTAATACTTGACCATAATCTTCCAAATACTGGATTTCAGTTTCTTTAAAATGGGGGAGGCCCAGCCTTTGATGTAAAGTAGCCAGTTTTGGTCTCGTATCTTCATGCAAAATCCGAGATATGCAGTCGAAATGGGAATCTGTCTCAAGTCAAATGGACCACCCGGTATATTGCTTTTATTCAGTTTTATTTAGATTTATTCAAAAACCAACATTTCTTATATGTTTAACAGTGTTTGAGTTTCAAACATAAAAATATTTCTAATACCTAACCTACAAAGTTAGATTATTATTATTTTTCGGCATAAGCCCAAACCAATCTGTTTATAATATAATGATTAAAACCTTTACAGTTTTCTGCAGATAGAGGTATTTTTTAGACACAAAGTACCTAAATATGTAATCACCTTTACAAATAATTGAGTTTCATAAATTTACACGACAAAGATTAAATAATTTATACGATAAAGTTCACTAACTTAACTTCGGCTGATCGGCACTTTTAAAACAGTATCGTCTTCGGCTACCGACAAATCGAATCAAACATTGCACGTGGTAGTTGAACAGACAGACTGAGATTGAGACAAGTCTAAACAAATATGAACTGCGCAATATTTGTATTTGTGGGAAGTACTTAATTACATTCAAAAGTACTTAAGTACATTCAAAAGTACTTAAAGTACTTATTTGTCTGAAGTACTTAAGTACATTCAAAAGTACTTACAGTACTCTAAAATGTACTTGAGTACAAACGTTCTCAATACAGTGAAAGTACAAGTACAAATACATAGGATCCTAATGTACTCTGGACTGAGTACCAAGTACACTAAATGTACTTAGAGTACAGCTATCGCGTACTTGTACTTGAATACCGCACATCTCTGTTTTTGTCCAAGATTGTGATTTATTTATTATGATGATCAACAGCCTTTTGTACAATGAACTTTGAAGATTTGTTTCTTTGATAATATTTTTTTGATTTACTTTCAATGTTTTGATAGCGTTATTATATCTTTCTTCATCATCAGAATCAAGATTTCCAAATAGCCATTTGTTAATTTTTCCAATTGCATTTATTAGAGCTCTTTTATGTCTTACATGAGGAATTAAATTATGATTCTTTTTCTGAAGAGTAATTATTAGATATTTTGTTCTTGTTAACATATTTTGTGATAAGCTATGATAATATGTAGGGTTAGTTGCATTAACATGAACTATGCTATGTTTTATCGATTCAAAATGATTAAGTAAATTATTAACTTGTTTAACGACTTCTTCTAAATCTAAATAATGTAAAAAATTTATATTTGCTATATATACATTTAGCGTTTCCTAACTGAATAGGAAGCAGATTTTCAATCAAAGTGATCTGTATATCAGAAGATATACTATGTATTTGGTACACATAAATGACTTGTAGAACTTGTACTTGGAACAGCTTCGTTATCAAAATGGATTACATTTTCGTTGGTACCCTGTAACAATTTTTCTAAATTATTTTTCGGTTTTCTAACAATACTTTTATGATAAGTACCCTTATCCGTTTTTATTAAAATACCTTTATCTGTAATGACATTTGCCTTATTAAATTTTGATAATTGTTTATTACTTGATTTTGTTTTGACAAAACATGAGTTTTGATTAGAATAGTTATCTGGTTCAGATCTCTTTTCATTTAATTTGTTTATTAAATTTTCTTTTACTTCTTCGTTACGTTGTTTAATTTTGTTATACATCTGTTTACTATGATCTTGTACATAATTAGAATTAGAGCTACACCACTCTGGGGCCAAAATCGCACTTTTCTTATGGAAATTAACATGGGAATTTCTAAGGTCCGAAAAGGCATTTTTGTCACTAGATTTAGTAACTTTTCAAAATCCAGTAACTTTTCCTGGGCACCTATCATGTCACGTGTCATGCTGTCATCCATTTGCTGTATGGATATACCATTCCAATTTAAAATTAGAAATTATTAAGTGACCGTCTAATTTAAAAAGATTTGGATTATCAATGTGTCCTTTAATCATTTCATATAGCGTGAAGTTTGTCACTGAATGTATACTATTATTATAACAAAATAAAGAATTTTTAATTAGTCGATCTGGTATGAAATGTTTGTTTTCTTCTTGTAAACATCTATAATGTTCTAATAGACTTGAATGAAACCGTTCCACTGGGAAATTTGAATTGCTATTTTTTTGCGGTAGTGATATGTAATTGGATACGGTGTAGTTTACAAAAATCTTTTAAATCGAAACTTTTTAATTCTGTTTCACTATCGATAGTAATTTTTTGTGGTAATCCGTGATGTGAAATAAATTCTAAGAGTTTTTCTACGACTGATATCCCTGTTATACTATCTAGGAGATTAGCCTAACCATATCGCGAAAAAGAATTAATTATAGTCAAATAAGATTTATTAGAAATATAAAATATATCTAAATGTATGTGTTCACAGAGTTTTGATGCATGTTGAGGATATCTTCATCAGCTTGGAAGACGACCTTTGTGTTTTATTGGTGGAAGACTATTATTTTTATTTTTCTTACTATACAAATAAGCATGACACTTGGTTTCACCTTTGCGACTATATTTTTTTTTTTTATTATTATTTTTTACGCCCATTTATGTGGGTGTTCGTTATAAAATTCAGGTGGAAGACGATATTTTCTAATATTTTTATGTTCATATCAACGTGTACACCAAGTTTCATCCATGCGAAAATGATTTTTCCTTATAATTTTTTTACTGGCATTGCAACCCTCCCGCAACCCTCTGTCGTACACGATGATTTTACTGTTAGATGCTATTCAAATAACTCATATTCAAAAAATAAAGCTTTATTGAAATCTGTCATTACCTCCCGGACTAAATGTCAAACATGAAAGTAATATAGATTATTTTATTTCTTATAGATTTTAAAAAATGGCTGAAGAAGTTCCACCGCCAAATTACAATCCTGACACAGAATGTTTGTTTGATATCGAAGACTCAGATTTAAGACTTCTAAGTGACCTGTACAAGGAAAACGAGCAGAATCCTTATGCGACCAGTTTACTAGATAATGGTATAAGGATTAGAGATTTGATGAAGGGTTATCCATTGAGATTTATGTCGCCTCTTGGAGTATGGAAGGATAGTGGAACTTTCATCGCTAACATAGAGGTAAAGAAATATTTTTATATTAAGTTTTGTATTGGAGTGGCAGTTCTCAAATTATAATGTTTTTTATTATTTTATTTTGGAATATCATTATAAAAATTGACAAATAATAGTATGTTATGCAACGATCATGTATTAATAGCCATTACATGAGAGTTGTATACACAATTTTTTCTATGACCAAGAATCTATTTCAATTCAATAACATTGCTTTATTTTTTAAATTATTTAATACTTTTTAAACAAACAATAAGAAAAAAATATGAAAGAAAAATAAGTACTTCGACTTAATTTTTACTTTTCTATCTGTATACAAATAAGGAAAGTATAGGAATCATGATTTTTTCGACCTAGAGTTTTCGACGGATTTTTACGTTTGGAGGTCCTCTGAATCCGTTTTAACTATTTTCACGATGATGTCTGTATATGTATATGTATCCCTGATAACTCATGAACGGATACAAAGACAAATACCAAATTTTAAACTTAATTTCTTATAAAAATTGTTCAAATAAAAGTTGTTTGTAATTTTTATTTTATATATAATTTTTTTTAAATGGACCGTATTCGAGATATTTGAGAAAATGTGTAAATTGCGAATTTTGAAGGAAACTCAAAAACGGATAAAGGAAAAAACATTAAATTTTAGTTTAATTTCGGCCTGAGGTGAAATGAGTAGATTTTGGACAAAGTTGGAACATCTGGGGGTACTTTATAGGTTGTTTTTATATTTTATGGAATATATAAATAAATAAGTAGGTAAATAAATATAAAAAATAAAAATCCTTTATTCATCTATCAAATGTACAGATACATATGTTTGAATACACAACAAAATGTACATTTATGAGACTTGTCAAATAAAAGAAATAAGAAAAATACAATATATAGCACTTCCATTTACAACATAAATCTAAAATTACTATAATAATAATAAAAAATATTTATATATAAATCTAAAATTAAATTAAAATGATTAAGAAATCTGCAGGAATTCTTTTACAGAATAAAACACATTTTCAGCTAAATATTTAAAAAGTTTGGTTTTAAAAACATTATAACTACTATTACCCAAAAGCCTAGTTATATGATTAAAATAGATGATGCCCTGATAACCCGCAGAACCCTGCCCAATGGTCAGCCGGGAATATGGCAGTCTTAAGTCGTTGCCTCTCCGTCTGTTGTGTTCGTGAATCATGTTATTTCGAATATATTGAGATTCATTTTTCTTAATGTTTAATGTGGTCAAATATATATAGAAACATTTATTTATTTATTTATTTATTTACGGGCAAAGCCCAATTCAGTTTACATACAATAAAATACAATATAAAATAAAAAATACAATAAAATAGAATAGTGATATCATAAAAATTAAGTAAAATATAGAATAAAATGGTTAGATAAAATAGTGGACATTAATGTACAGAACAGCAAATAAATTATAATGTGTTAAATGAAATTTATGGAATTGCTTGAGACGTTAAAATATTCAATGTAAGTAAGTGGTTCTTAAATCCTTGAACAGAACTGTTAAAAAGTCGAATATCATGAAGAGAGTTAGCTAGTCTAAGTGTTCTAGGAATAAAAGTATTAAACGCATAATTGTAACGGTGAAAAGGTACATGGAATGTTTGAATTTGTCTAGTAGTACGTGATGGCACAAAAAGATTAATTCTGGAAAGGAGGTCGGGGCAATTACACCTGCCATTGATAATATTGGACAGTATGGTAAGATCTTTTCGTTTCCTACGAACTTCCAGAGAAGGTATGTTTAAATATTGTTGCAATTCCGCATAATTGTAATAAATGTTAAACTTGAATGCTATGTATCTAAGAAAATTATTTTGAACTCCATCCAGTTTACTTTTATGAATTAAGTAGTGTGGGAACCAGACTGAGGAGCAATAATCAAGTTGTGTCCTAACTAAAGAGAAGTATAGCATTTTAATTGTGTTTATATTAGTGAAGTCTTGAGTTGTCCTCTTTACAAAGCCCAGCATTTTCATTGATTTTTGAACTGTAGCAGAGATATGACCATTAAAGCTCATGGAAGAGTCAAAGGTGATCCCTAGATCCTTGATTTGATCGACATGGTCCAAAACATGTTGAAATAAACTATAATTATAAGTTATTAAATTATGGCTGCGACAAAATCGGATAATGTGACATTTGTTAGTATTTAGATCCATGCCATTACTAGAGCACCAACTTTCTAGTTTATTTAAATCCAACTGCAAAATCTGAGTGTCGGCATAGTCATGAATGATCTTGAAGCATTTCAAGTCATCTGCAAACAATAGGGCTTTAGTGTTAGGAAAGCAAGTTATGATGTCATTAATAAACAGGTTGAATAGTAGCGGTCCTAAGTGAGACCCTTGAGGAACACCCGAAGTAACTGGGAAAATTTGGGAATAATGATGATTTACTCGAACCTGTTGAGTCCTATTTGTTAGATAACTACCGAGCCATTGTAAGACAATCCCATCAATACCATATAAATTTAGCTTATGAACGAGAAGATCATGGTTCACCTTGTCAAAGGCCTTGGAAAAGTCTGTATATACAGAATCTACCTGTAGACCCTTCTCTAAAGCTTCAGACAGAAAGTTAGCATATGTTAATAAGCTTAGTTCAGCAGATTTGCCTGGCGAAAAACCAAATTGTTGGGAATTTAAGATATTGGAGCAGTCGTGAGTTAGAAAATCAGTTATTATACTTTCAAAGATTTTTGGGATTGTGCTTAGGATGGAAATGGGGCGATAATTTATTACATTAGATTTGTTACCCGATTTGTAAATGGGAGTAACATAAGAGAGTTTCCAAAAGTCAGGAAATTCACCTGTGCTCAGTGATTTGTTAAAGATATGAAAAAGTGGCCTAGATAATGCAAAATTAAATGTTTTGAGAAAAATGGGTGGAATTCCATCGGGACCTGACCCTTTATTAGTGTCAAGTGTTGACAGCTTAACATAGATCTTGGAAATTTGGATAAAATAAGAAGATACACATGTTGCAGATTGGATTTCACTTCCATTTAAATTTAGCGTTTGGTTCGTGTATACAGAAGAAAAGTGACTAGCAAATAGATTGGCAATGTCATTACCGCAGGAAGCCACTGTATCGTTTAATGTCATCGAGTCAGGTAAAGAATTATTTTCTCTCTTATTTTTTACAAATTTCCAGAACGCTTTAACATTTTTTACAACTGAATTCTCAGTACGGCTTACATAACTAGCATAACACTCTTTTGATAACATTTTGCATTGAGCTCTGAGTTGACTGAAATAATTGTAATGTTCAGGAGACTTAGTACATTTATAAGTTTTATGGGCTAACTTTTTATCGCGTAACAACTGTCTAAGCTGTAACATGGCAATGTTAATATTTCCAAAGATTTAAACAAATTCTTGCAAGATGCCCTATAGTGGGAACCAGTTATACATCTCACTATTTTCTTCTGAGTTATAAATACTTTCACAATATGTGAAGCGTTTCCCTAAAAAGTTAGTGCGTAGGTTAATAATGACTGTACCAGCCAGAAATAGGCAAACTTTAATACATTCAGAGAAGTTGTATTGTGAATTTGTTTAGAGATAAAACAAAAACTGCTCATCCTTGAGACCACCTTGTCAATATGTCCTTCCCATATAAGCTTCTGGTCTAGGGTCACCCCTAGATATTTAAAGTTTGTCACCTGTTCTATCGTTCTATGATCAAGCCTAATTAATGGGCAGAAGTCAACTGATGTTTTTTGTTGAAAAATCATAAATACTGTTTTTGTTATGTTAATTAGCAGTCCATTATCTGAGCCCCAGTCCGAAAATTCTTCTACAGTGGTGTTTGCATACTCAGCCGATAAAGCAAGTTTATGTTCAGCCACTATGTGACTCGTATCGTCTGCATAGATTACTGTTTTTTTTTTTTTGGCTTTTTTACATGATTGTGTGAAGTCACTGACAAAAATAATTTATTTATTTATTTATTTATTTATTTATTTGTTACACCACCCAACAGTAATCACCATTTACTGGGTGGGAAAGACAAGAAAACATTAAAATATAAATACAAATACAAAATTGTTAAAAAGCTATACAATACAATGTAAACATCCAGAAAAAAAACTGACCGAACACAGGATAAAAAGAAATGGTTGTCTACATTGCATTACATGCTGTACATCATTTTTTTTACATTTACAAAGAAAAAACATTTTTAATCATATGTTTTTTACATGCAAAAATGTCCAAGCTGTCTTGAATTTCATGATATTTCTGAATAGATTGGTACATTGGAGATGAGTTTAAAACATTAGTTCTAGAAGCAGGCATGTAGAAACTCAAGTAAACTCTTAATCCAGCACGGGGGATTTTTAGATTGACGTAATTTAACAAATCAATACTGTCGACTGAGCCATTTAAAAGATTATAAAGTAGGAGTACCTGTTGGAAATTTCTGCGTATCACGAGCTCTGAAAGATTGAATCTAGATATTAGTAAAGCGTGGGGATATCCCCTTGCAGGGTATATACCATCTAAAACATAGGAAGCCGATTTCATGAATTTTCTTTGAACTTTTTCGAGTAAATCAGTATAAATGTTATGCACGGGATTCCAAACAACAGAACAGTATTCAAGTTTTGACCGTACAAAGCTAATATATAAAGTTTTTAAGGTGACTATGTCTCGGAATTCTTTACAGCTTCGAATAACAAACCCTAAGCTCTTGTTAGCAGCAGATAACATCGTTTCAATGTGTTTAACGAAAGATAGTTCAGGATCAAAATAAACTCCGAGATCTCTTATACATTCGGGTCGATTTAGAACAATGTTCTGTAGTTTGTAATCAAAAATTATAGGTGTTACTTTTTTAGTAAACGACATTACGGAACATTTCTCAGGATTTAGAGGGAGTGAATTATCGAGACACCACTTCGCAATGTCGGACAAACACTTTTGAAGTCGCAAGCAATGGTTAACAGAATTGATTTCAAGCAATAATTT